GCCTGCACTTGAACAGGCAAATAAATTGATCAAAATCACAAATCTTTTTACTAACTTCTTGGAATTGGTTCCCCGGAATAAATCCAAATTCCAGGGGCGCTGAGTAAAAGGACCAGATGGAAGGGTTCACGAACCATTCGATTGGGTGGGCATCTGTTGTGGCATTTGGAAATCATTTAACGGCAATTTGACGTGCAATTTATAAAAGCATCAAACTCTGCTGGCATTTGCATTTCAATTAGGTTCCGAATTGGTGGATAAAGTGAAAGAGCGGCAAAGCAAAGGAGAACGCCGGGGGGATATTCCAGGGCGGACGGCCTTCAGTCGGTTTGGGCTTTCTAGTGCTCCAATTAATGGCGGAATTAAATGGTGTCCACAGCATTTGAACAGGGCATTTGTCAAGTGGTAGCCGGGTCCTTGAATCTTCTCCCCATCCCACTCCCACTCCCACTCCCATCTGACCCCCCATCCTAGCATCTCCTTCCCCCACCACGCGCCCGACCGCCACCGTACAATGACCAGCTGATTGCTTGGCAATTTTCCTCAAGCTCTTTGAATTTACTGCCTCTTCAATGTATACTCTTCCCCATGGCATTCGGGTCTGCTGCGGATGTTTTCCTTGAGGAGTAGGATGAATTTCGCACTTTCACACTCAGTTAGTATGCCGCCTCTACGTACGCTTATGGACAAAATAATAGGTGTGCTTTTTTTTCTCTTTTAACTTTTAATTTCTAATTCATATCTTCTCTAATCGCAACAAATCAAAGTTTTTCCAAAACTTATATTAATTGTCTTTAAACAAACAATAAAAACAGTTCTACAGACCCTTTAATTTACAAGAAAATTAAATATTTCCTTAAATCCGTAAATTTCGGCTGGACACAATAACAGGTGTACGAAGATAAATGTTTAAATTAAATCGACATTTCACTATTCTAGGTATTGTACATGTACTCACACAACTCATAAATATACTCATAAATATACCAGAATAAATTCTCACTCTCAATTTTATGTTGAAGGGACAGTGCGGGGAGGCGGCTGATTGTGGCAGTGCATGGACAGAGCAGACCGCGCATCAAATTTCCTCGCACTTTCCATCAGAAAAGAGATGGCAGTGATGAGCGAATCATAGAGAGAGCGAAAGCGAGCAGTAGGTGTGCTCTTATACTAGTTCTTGCACTCCGTCTATTCCCATTCCAGCCTATGACCAATATTACAGCTGTTTCCATAATGTTGAATATTTTACATTCTCTTCAACGAAGTACCATTCAGCATAGCCCTATGCTCTTTGAGTATCGGGTATGGAAGGAAGATGAAAGATACACTGACCAATATCAAATAATTATTATAATTATTTGTAAATTTAATAAAAACTCCAAAGTAAATATTCTATAACATATTCCAAATTCAATTCGATCCGATCCCATAGATGGCATTGACATTGGAATCATTGGCCAGAAATCGTATTTTCCCACTCTTGGCTCAAGTTGCCACCTCCAAACGTTGTCGAATCGTGCTATAACTCTGCCGCTGTTTACTTTGAGGCATACGAATATTTTTGAGATGTTGAGACCTTTGAAATGAACAACTATGTACATGAGTTGGCTGCCAGTGGAGCGATGGATCTGAAAGGGTATCTGAACACTCGGACGGGCTTCGCTCTTTTCCGTGCAGCATCTTCAGCGTCTACATTCTGCAATTCAGTTGAATTCAATTCGATTCTATTGCCATTCCATTCGGCTGCTATTGTTTGCGTTTGCGTTTGTGTGTAATGATATAGATTTATTTTCGAGCAACAATTGTATTGGCATTAAAAGTGCGCCCCCCAAAGGGGCCTTTTCCTTTACTCAGTGTGACCTCTCGGTGTGACCGGAATGGAGTGGTAGTGGGGTTTGGGGGTGGGGTTGGGTTGGGTGGCATGTGCAATTGATAGCCTGGGTCTGCGACACGTTCGCTGCTGTCGCTGTTGCCATCCATCACACTCAAAGTGAAATAAATTGAAACTAATGCCAAAAAGGCAATCAATGAATGTCGCTGCACTAGCTCTGGTGGCAGCAGATCTGTTGCAACTTGCAACAGCTGTTTTTGCACGCCATGTCACTGTTACTTTCTAAGTCGGCACAACTCGAAAATCCTGTTTGAATGCCATTTATGGACAGCCATGGACGGGCTGGTCTCGTCTCGTCTGGGCTGGCCTGGCCTGGACTGGACTGGACTGGTGAAAATATCACCTCATCTCTGGTTAGTGGAGCAGCGTGTCCAAGTCCATGCAGCCCCCGCGCCGGTGCAACTACTCTTGCCGATGGCATGTACGAGTGTGTGCAGCATGCCTCACTTTCTATCAGCGGCAGCTGGCGGGGGACCAGGATCAAAAGCAGGCCAGTACACAAAATTCATTCGCAAAGAGAGTACGAGAAATCAATCCGAGTTCGAAATTTCGTTCAAAATTCACAATTAAGTCAAGCAGAATGGGCAGCAAAGGTAAATTGAATCATTTGAATCATTTGAATCCTCGTTAACTGCTGCTGGTTGCATTTCCTTACAGTGAGTCACCATCCGGCCCAGTGTGGTTTTCCGGGCCAGGCTCAGAGGAGCCAGGTAGAGGCACAGTCGCCGTCGCCGTCGCCGTCGCAGTTCCAGCGCCAGCGCCAGCGCCAAGACATGGCCTGGCTTAGTGGCACCTCCGCAGATGATGACACCAACGACGGACTATGCGTGTTCTCCTGGGGCTTCCTCAAATCGTGCTGCCTGTGGCGGGGACAGAGCTGAAAGATGCCGAAAAATCATAATTAAAACCAGTCACAGGTTCTGTAGTCCCCTCCCTCTAGGCAGCAGGCAGCAGGCAGGAGGCACCCAGAGGGACGCAACCCAACCCAACCCGACCCAATCCAACCCTTCCACGTGCACATTGCTTCTAATAGTCAAAGTGACACGCTAAGCTGATTAACTCTAATCTAAAGTTGCAACCAGGGGGAAATAAAGCGCCAACCGAAAGCGAACACAATCAGAAACATGGTGAAAAGAGAGGGATAGGGAGTGGAAGTGGGAGAGTGCCCCACATGCCACAGCCCGCATGGGCCCGTACAGTCTCCTGCTGGGGACGGGTAAGGCCACGATGGAAGGACGACTGTTTACATTTGTCATAGATTTAGTAGAAAATGGGGGCGGGCGTCGACAAGGAGGTATACAATGGAGCGAGTGAACAAAATTGCCACCGATAAGAAAGCAAAGCAGAGAAAACGAAAGGTGGCTGCTGGCAGGGCACAGAAGGAGCCACAGGAGCGGGAACGGAACCAGAAACAGGGCATAGATAAAAGTGCACCTAACGTGGCACCAAAGTAACCCACAAAATCTTCAACCCAATCCAACCCAACCCAAGCTGGCCCGCTCCCGTCCGGTCCGGTCAAAATCCCGCCTGAGACTCTTATCTGACTTTGGATTTGTTTCTCTTTTCCCCATCTCTGTCACCATCTGTGTGGTGTGTGTGTGTGTGTTTTCATGGTGTCTGCCCTGTTCGATGCTGTTCTTTTCTGGTTTGTTTTGGCTTGGGCTCTCACGTCATGTGTCCGAGCTGTCCTTGATTTGGCTTTGGGGCTGGGACCTGTGTCGGGATTTGCATTGAAATCGTCTTAGTTTACCCTCCCACCCGCCACCCTCCAGCCGCTGGAAAATCCCCATCAGCCCTAAGCTGATCGTGAATGGATCTGGTTCAGGATCAAGTTGGAGCACGGCCAACAGCCGCAACTTTTCCCATGATTCCCGTGATTATAATCACAAGATATTGAGCGAGAAACCCTGTCAGCCACTGCCAACACCTTGCAGCAGAAAATGAACTGGCCACTACGACCCCTTTAGCTCTATTTTTATTAAATATTACTAACTTTTGGAATGCATTTTTTAAGTTTAATATTAATAAAATTAATATAGATCAAGACTAAAATAAATGGTGCAGAAATTTACGAGCTTTGAGGCTCGCACCGCACACTCTTTCTCGTCCAGTATGCGCCTCCTGGCGGAATGATCGAAATACAATTGTCGGATGGTCATTCGTTGGTGGAAAGAGCTGGAATGTTTGTTTTTGGGTGGAAACAGTTAAGAGCCAGAGAGCAGGAATAGGTTGTATTTGTTACACAGCTCATAAAGGCATCCCTATATCCATCTGTCTATTTGTTTTGCATCTATCTATGCTTTCGTTTCTCTTATGATACTTATCATCCATGTGCATAGTTGTGTATGTGTCACAACATTCATATCTTCCTCCCTATAATCTAATTATATTCGTCTGTTGTATATATCAGATCCTGTATTGCATTGTTCTCCTGCATTGTTGGACTTATCCCATCAGTATTCCCAACTCATAGGCGGATCTATGCGTTCTTGGGGAACTCCCTCCGCAGCTCTCCTCCACAGACACCTTCTTCCCCTACATGACCCAAGCTGAAGCGGTCAACTCAAGATGCTGGCTAACTGAGTCGACACCCAGGATGCTCTGAAACGGAACAGGCAATTGCAGTAATCATTTCAGCCGCTCAGCCCGCAGCGGGAGCGGGCCAGACCAGGCTGATGGAGCATGGAGCATGGAGCATGGAGCATGGAGAGGGTGGATGGGAGTGGGGGGACGGTACCGGCATGGCCATATTTTGGCGCAAGTTTTCACCAACGCCCAATGTGGAATATGCAGACGCTGCACTCGCTTCTGCCTCTGTGCCTGGGTGGCTGGGTGGCTGTGGATGTGGCTGTGGATGTGGCTGTGCGTGTGTGCCTGAGGAAAAGTGGAAAAACGAGGTGTGCAATTTTAACCATTCACGCTCGGACTCGGTTCGGACCACGTCTGTGCCTCGGTTACGCCTTCGGGCTGAGATTCGTGTGGCAGGTTCGGCTTCGGTTTCGGTTTCTGTTTCGGGCTCGTCTTGGCTTCGTTGGCTCGTTGGCTCGTTGCTGGTGCCGCCGCTACGGCAGGCGGCATTATCAGACGGCAACTTCAGTTGCAAGCGTAAGCTCAGCGTGTGTGCCTCGTGTGTCTCCATCGTGGCGCAACATCAGCCAAGCATCGACATTAGCATCATCTTCGGCCAGTTTCATTGAACAGTAGTCAGTCAATCAGTGGAAACCAGTAGGCGGGTGCGTCTGCGTCGCGTGTGCTACACTTGCCACTTGCCACTCCGGCTTTGGTTTTGGCTTTGGCTTTGGCTCTGACTTTGACTTTGTACAAAATTCGAGCGGGTTTCCGAGCCACGCCGCGCTGCGCCGCGCTTTTGTGCATTTGTTTTGGATTTGGATTTGGACTTGGACTTGGATTGTTTCCCCTTGTCACGTGCTCGGTGTTTTCTTTGTTTTTTGTTGCTGTGCTGCATTCAGTGGAGTGGTTACGCAGTGGCAGAAGAGAGGCCTAGCTCCAACCAACTTGCAACGTTTGGCGTCGTCTCCACAGCTTGGACATGGTCTGACTGGTTCGTGATTTTTCAGATGATTTTATTTCATTTTGTGCACATTTTCGTTTGATTTGAGCGAAAGTTTTTTCTGTGACTTCTGCAGCCGTTGTTGTCGATGCTGCGGGGGAAAAACGAAGACAATTTGCAGCATTGATGCCTGCCCCTTTGCCCCCCTCCCCCGCCACCACTCATTCCAGTTGTGGCGCCCCTAATTAAACCGGTAAAGGCATTATATTTTTGCCGAGGCTGTTGTTGCTAATTGCCAGTGAAATTTGTGACAGCGGCAACATTAGCAGCAGCGACAACTTTGGCAACAACATTGGCCGCTGCCATGCTGTGTGTCCTTGTTAATGAAATCGTTAAGCTTCCTCCGATAGGGGGTGCCTGTGTCTGAGTTTGGAAAATATGGGAAAACTCTCGGGTGGAACGCCTGCGAGCCGCAGTGGGAGATTGTTTTTTGGGGGATCGTTTCGCGCTAATATTGTAGCAGAGCTTACACTTCGGCAGTGGAAAAGGAGAAATGAAAACAGGTAAAAAAGAGATGCAGTATTGGGCAAGTGGAAAGGTATCAGAGACCTGGAAGGAGTGGGCACTATTTATATATTTGCAATGCACTTAGATAGAAATTAAAAGAAAATTCTTCCGAATTGTTCAGCACTGTTCTAGATTCCCGTCAAATACCTTTAAAACCTGCTGCCGTTTTCAGTTCTCCATTGAACAGGGAATATTTTTTCATTGGGGATTTCTATCCGATATTCTCTAAAAAATTCTCTTCTCTTGCTGTTCTGACATACTTAAGGAATTTATATGTATGTGCACACGGTATGAGCTATAACGATCGGAAGACTTGTGGTATCATAGATAACTAATGAATCAGTTGAAGAAAATACTGCCTTTTAAATTCAAACTGAACGATCAAGGGAATGAGCTTAATTGAGATAGCTCTGATCACAACACCCAATTAATATACCCCCTTGAGTACAAAAGCTTTAAATAAATTTAAATATGTTTTTAAGATTGATATTCCTTTTATTATTAAATTGGTCGCCAGCTATGGTGAATCTCGAATATTTTTTGGTGTATCCTCGCCACGGGTCACTAAACGTTTATACCAGGGTCGGCGGAATTATTTTAAGAAGCCGCTATAATCTTTGGATAAAATAAAAACTTTTTTAAGAGTCATATCAATGCGCAACACTCGAAAATTAGTCACATTGAATTATTGAATTGCTTTCCGTTTGGCGTTTGAATCGTTTGCCGCGAAAACCATTTCTATTGTTGTGACATGCGAATTATTTGGTTTTTGGAAACTATCATAAAATACAAAAAATTCACAAAATCAACCTTAGCAACAATTGAAGGGTTTGGGAGTTATAAATCAAGTCTATTGTCAAAATAAAAATCCGTTTTATTTTTAAAATATTTTCACTTTTGACGTGTCCACGCAACATTATGTAAATGCACTTATAAATATGTATGTACATACATATGTTTGTACAATTTACATTGTACAGTCTTGTTTTATATTTTTTAAACAATTTTTTATGATTTATTTTGCTTTCCTCGGGGCTTGCCCTCTTTTGTGATTTCCAAATGTGCAAAATGTTTCACTGTCTTTTCTTCTTCGGTGTGTATGTTGTACTCCCCCTGCTTCCTTTTCTGATCTCCTGTTTAAGTGTTTCTTTAATTTCAGTCTTTTCTTCGGGCCTCTCGAAATTTACGTTTCATTTAATTTGGCAACAGAAAATATTTTATTGTCATTTCATTTGATTAAAATGTTCATAATGTGAATATCGCTGCTGCAGCTTCTTCAGTTTTTCTTGGCTTTTTTTTTTTTGCTGTTGTGGGATGTTTTGTCAACAGCAACGAGGGGAAAAAGTGAAAATCTAAACAAATTTCTTGCCCGCAGGCTTCACTGCTTTTCCCTCTCACTCTCTCTTTTTGGCTGTTTTTGTATCTGTGTGTTGTGCTTCAAAAGCAGACAAGAATTAATAAAAAAATAAAATGAAAAAGTGAGATAAAAACAAAAATGAAATTGTGCCGCAGTATTTGCGTTTGGCGGCATTTTTCCGCTGTTGCCTGTCGCCTTCGTCGTCGCTTTGCGCTTTGCGCGTTTTTCCGTTTTCCCCCACTACTTCAGCACCCTACCACTCTCCGCCACTCCAGCACATTTTTTGTTGCTGCATATGGCACTGCTGATGGCTTCATATTCATTTAGTTGCCCGATTCCTTTTGTTCATCTTTGTTGTCCGTCTATCCGGCCGTCTTTCTCCCATTTCTTATGCCCCCCTTCCTTCCTATCGCCGGTCCATTGCTTTTTTTTTCCATCCGGGTTTTATTTACATTTAGATGGAATTTTTAATTTTAATATAATCTTGCCCGAAACAAAAATCATCAGGTAAGGACTAAAGTCAAAAGAATGCTCGGTCGGTTCCCGCCACAAAATCGTTTTGACTTTCCAATTAATACACCAAATAAAATAAAAAAGGTCATCTCTTTGAAGAAAGGAGCTTGGATTCATGATTTAGTCATTCCCACTCTCAAACCGAAACACTTTCATTGAGTTTTATCAGCCAGCGTTCACGCTTGGCAATTACCAAAAATTTGCTTAAATTTATCTGATTTTCTGCTATAATTTTTCTCTTTCAATTCAATAATTCAGCTAATTAAAACGTAAATAATTAAAAAAGTGTATATCCTTGGTAATCTTTTGTTATGTGTGCGTCTCGAATATATGAAGCAAAATTCCTTCCGAGGCATTCACAGGAATTCACTTCCTATTTGCAGAGGCTGAGAGAAGCTACAAATGGGCCAATTATGCAAAGTAAATTTACAGATTTGCAAATTGATAGATTTGCATTCAGATGCAGAATTCGTTGAGCGCTGGGCACATGCGGCATAATTGATATTAATTTTGTAATTAAAACATAAACTGATTTAAAAGGCAGCGGGCGGTCGAGCGGCAGGAGCATGCCACATATTCCCGCAAAACCAATTCAATTGAACAACAATCAAATGGCAAATCGCAGGGCAAATTGTCAAACTTTTTGACAGCTCCGACAGTAACATACATACATATGTATGTATGTACACGAGTATATGGATATTCCATTTATATATTCCTATAATTTTAAATAAATTCAGCATGGCCTAATTTATGCAATTCTGATTGAGTAAGTTTTGTAATGGATATTTCGATTATGAATCGCTGAATTAAACTCAGCCTAATCCAATTAGCTCTGTCCAAAGCCTAAAAGAGAATCAAGTGGGGAAACTAAAGAGGGAGAAAATAAGATTGTGAAATGCTCGATTTTGAAAATTGCAAATCGAAAATCGAAAGTCGAAATCTACCACCCCCTTCCCATACGAGCACCCGTTGCACATGCCAGCGTATGCAGCCGAGCATTAAAATTACCTCTTAATTAACACGAACCAGCAGCGGCAGCAGAAATACGAGCACGAGCACGAGTACGGGTACGGGTACAAGTACCATCAGCAGCAGAAAGTGCTGGGGTGCTGGGGTGCTGGGGAGTAATGTGGTCAGTGATTAGATGAGTTTAACTATTTATTGATATGGGGATGTGGTACATCAATGGTACACTCTTAAGACAGTTTCTATATCCTAAGGGTTTTTTCGGTTCCAAAGAATTCCTGTTTCAATAATTCTCTGGCAGTTGGAGCTCTTAAAGCCTTCCAGTAGACTGGGCTTGATCGGGCTCAAACGATTTCTTCCCAAAGACCCAAATATGTTTTTGCTAGCTCAACTGTCAGCTGCCTCCCGACCTTCGCTCCTCCACCCTCCACACCTTTATCATCCCATTATATCCCGGCTCTGCCTGCTTTTTTTTTGCACCTCATCAAGCAAGGAGCAAGGGAACTAAATGCGGAAACACATGTTCCCTTTACACCCATGACACGGGAATCCTAAATGCTATGAGTGTGTGTGTATGTGTGGGTTGGTGTGCTAATGTAGGTATTTGCGTCTCCTGCAGGAGGCGGTTCAAAAAATAACCTACAACATAAATTGCTAAACAAAAAGTTTTGGCCTTAGCTTTTGGATTTGGCTTCCGATTTGGCCAATGGCCATAACGAGACGAGACACGGGAAGCAGAAAGAGAAAATTTAAAACTGGTAACAATAACTGCACTAAGAGAACCGATGGAAACAGAGAGAGAGAGAGAGAGAGGGGGAGACAGAACAACAGACGTGTGAGATTGAACTTTGGGACACGACAGGGCAGAGTGGGGCAGAGTGCGGCAGAGTGGTATAGTTGAAAAGAAAAGGAGACTCCATTGCTCAGGAAAGATTCAACGATCTTTACGAAAATCTTTACGCTCGGTTATGTCAAAAAAACTAAAAGTAATTGGATTTTAAGGGTCAACATTTTAACCATCTATTCCTAGAAAATATTTAATTCTTGTACTTTTGTATCCCTGTGAAAATTAACTACATCAAAACTTTCAGCCTGAATGATGTCTAAAAGTCCTCGGCATTTTTTCTCATTAAACAGGCAGTGACATTTTCAGCGATTTCCGTATCCTTTTTTCCAAAATTCTCTAAGCATGCTCCATGGGGCTTCATTCAGGAAACTAGGATGCAGTTTTCAGGTGGTTGGAAGAGTGTCTGGGCATGTCTTGATTGGCACTTGGATGCAGCCCCAAAAAACAATGTTTCCATATCCAACCAACCCTACAACTGGCGTCCAATTTTGTTTACTAATGGCATTGTTTACTTCTGGCTAGAAATTGGGATCAACATCAACATCTATTAGGATTCAGCAGTAAAAATAACATTCTCCAAAAATGAATTTAGCTTTTGGTTCCTCCGAATGTCTTAAATTTAGCAAGCGCGTGGAAGGGGAACCTTTTCCACTGTCAATTGATTGGTTCATTCTGGCTATGATATTTAAATAATAATTTAATATTTTATTAATATAATATTATTGAATATAATGTTTGAAATACACTTTTAATAGTGTTATATCTCAGGAGTCTGAATACAAAACTTTGTTTGCACTA